GCAGATCTCTGTGAGTTTAAGGCCAGCCTGGTCTACAAAGACTCCATTACACAGAAAAACCCTATCTCGAACACAACAACAAAATAAAACAGACAAAAGAGTTATTTCAAGGGTCTGGAGAGATGGCTCAGCCATTAAGAGCATTTTCTGCTCTTCCAGAAGACCAGGGTCCTCCCAGCACCCACATGGCAGCTAGCAATCATCCATAACTCCAGCTCCAGGGAACCCAGTGCCCTCTTCTGGCCTCTGAAGGTGGTGCACAGGCAAAGCACCCACAAACAGAAAATAAAAAATAAATCGTTTCTGACATGACTTACTTCAAGACAGGCATGGCACTCATAACTGTTGACCTGTGTTTGACCCTGGGACCCACACGGCAGAGGAGAGAACTGACTCCTGCAAGTTGTCCTCTGACCCGCACACAGGCATGGGGATATGTGTGTGCCAACACATACACAAAACAAGCAGATGTGATTTTCAAAGAGTTTAATTTGTAGCTACCACGCCTTCTTCTGTAATCCCAGAACGTGGGAGGCAGAGGCAGAAGGACCCCTGCAAGTCTGAAGCCACTTTGTCCTACAGAGTGAGTTCCAAGCCAGCCAGGGTTACAGAGCAAAATCCTGTCTCAAAAACAGGGGTAGGAGGATCTGTGGGCTGCATTTATATACTTAGACATTTCTTTTTAAAATAGTCTCTTGAATCATGACAAAAATTCCAGTGTAAGTGTAGGCAGCTGAAAACAGCCCGGGCATTATTTCTTTGGAGGTGGGACGAAGCTCAGAGAGCAGGTAGGCTGTTTGCAGCCTTTCAAGTCAAGATGCAGGGTAAGCTGCCTGTTGGTGACCTTTCTGCTCTGGAGTGGGGTGGTCACAGCTAACAGACATTCTGAGTTACAGTGTGCCAGATCTCTTTACATTTCATTCCTTGGAGGTTCCCGGGGGAGGAGGGGCTATACAAGGCTTACAGTCCTCCTTTACACACAGAAAATGGATCTTTTCAATGGGATATTCTAGATCTGTTTCTTCTGAGTGTCCAAGATAGGAAAGAATACAGAAGTTCAAGTCTCTGCTTATGCTCTTAATTTTTCTGTAATCATGGACAGTGTCTTGTCCTCTATTGATCTACGCCTGCTCCCCAACCTCCGAAGCCAAGGCGATAAGCTATGAACGGTCTCTAGGACAAAGTGAAATTTGGGATTGTGCTGTCCCAAACCTGAGTTCAAATCCAACTCTTCCATCTTAGATCACTTTCTGAACTGGAATGTCCTGTTCCGTAGGAGACCTTACCCTCTGTTGCTGTCCACAGGATTATTGTAAGGCATACGTCAGATGATAGGAGCCCAGTGCCTCACTGTATACAGCTGCTCCACACGAAGAAACTCTTTCTCCTGTCTTGTTCATCTGAGACCCTTCCTCCAGCCTCTAACCATTCACTGGGAGTAAGGAAAGCTCCCTGTACTCACCAAGCTCATCTCCCCCTGCTGTCAGCATCTAGAACTGCAGTCTGTGCTCGCGGGCCAGCAGCAGGCCTGGATCTGGGTTAAAGAGAGGAGTTTAATCTCAACACCTAGGGGAAAGTTTATTATTTTTGTCTTATGAGCCATTTAATTGTTTTTGTTTTGTTTTGTTTTGCCTTCCCGCCCCCACCCCACCACCACCCACCACCCCCGCAAGATGACTAGGTTACTTTGCTGCTGCTGCGATAAAACACTCCCACAAATCCAGCATGAACTCTTCCTTTCTTAAACCAGGAAATGGTCCTAGGTAAAGTCTTCCCACTTCAATGAACACAATTAAGGTAACGCTGTACAGACATGCCGGCGGTTCTAGAGTCTGTCGAGTTGACGATTAATACTCAGCATCACAAGGCTGCTCTGGACACTTAGGGAGTTTCAATGACGTGGTCAAGGTCATATGAGATTACCAGATTTTTCAGGGGGAGGAGCTTGGTCCAGCCTCAACCAGATGTGCCATGCTTTGTTGACTCCTTTGGGAGGCCTGCACCTTTCTGAACAGAGCCAGAGGAGGAGTGGAGGGGTGGGTAGAAGTGGGGGGGAGGAAGGAGAGGAGAGGAGGGAGGGGAAACTGTGGTTGGTATGTAAAATGAATGAAAATTTTT